GAGGGCCAGACATCGACGACTGCCAATAGTAAACCGCAAAACAGTCGTCACTCTGAGGGCGCTTTCGGCTCTTTTCATCAGAGAATTCGTGCTATACTTCTGCCCACAAAAGACTCCTCCAAACCAAAAGTCAATGCAATCAATGGTAACGATGCTATGGCTGCGAATCAGGGCATGGATTCCATGCAAAGAACCAGTGATTCACAAAACTCTGTGAATATGTATACACCTGTTGCAGCTGCCGGTCCATCGGTGGTCAGTCCGACTGCGGATGCCTTCTGTGGTTTTGACGACGAGAACGATTCCTATCATATGAGAGATGTTTGTAATAAATGGTTCGCACAGAAGAGGTGTCCAATGAATCAATCGTTGACTTCTCAAATGGCTTCGGCTGTCACCAAGTCTTCAGTCTTAACGGATTCACCAAAGCTTTCACACAATATGACAGCCAATGCGTTGGACAAAGTGATGGTAAAGGATATCATTGGCCACAATTCCTATACGAATAGTACAAATGCTAATAACCCGCTAATGAATGGTTCGGTTTTAAGTCAATCCAATTCTTCCGCTTATGATTCGGTCGAAAGACAACGGATTCAAAGTGATTGTGATTTAATGACTGCTGTTGTCAGTGATGAACACGTTGTGGTAGTGAGTGGTCTTGAATGTGATACAAATCGTAACACTTCTCTAACAGTTAGATCTGAAGTGTCGCCCAATGAAGTAATCAGTGAAACTCATGCAATACCTTCCGGTGCTAATCACGCTTTGCAAACGAACTGTCCGTTGAATGCAATTAACGTGAACTCAAACAGTGATACTCAAGGGAGTGATACTGTCTCTCAGGAACACAACTATAAGTCTTCGTCTGACTCCGGACGCGGAACCATAAGAGACGGTGAAAATGGTTTGAAAAACGACAGCCCAGACGGTACCAGTCCTTTGGATTTGACGAGTTTAGACTCGGATCAAAGCACTTCTGGTGTGACCACCAGAGAGTGGATTAATCAAAATCTGAGCCAAGAGTCGGCCGTCAAAACCGTCTCCAGTAATGAGACGATTGAGGAAATGCAGAGAGAATTGCAACGGATTTTAGAGGACAACCATTCGGTGCAGTCGAGTGAAGTAGAAGTCGACGATTTGAGCCGCACTTTCAAAACACAACTTTCGGTCGTCAATGAGAGCGACAGCTGGACATCAAATACACCGCCGCTGACACCAAACCCACCGATAAACGGAACGACAGCTAAATTTTGTGAGCCCAAACCAGATATGAAATGTACGGCAAGTAATCCTAAGAATATCAGTTCCAAGACAACTAACTCTCGACAAAAGTGCAAAACAATTGAGAAACAAGTGATTGGAAGTAATAAACAGAATATTCTAAACGATAAAAACAAATATTCGGTGCAGAGGTCGACAAAGACTGGTCCAGTGATTACTAATATGAGTAGTGGTGGCAAATGTAGGAGTAATATGAGTAATGATCGCTCGTATTATAGTATCCCAAACCGAGCCAAACACCGGTCCACTCATCCAAATGACAAAAGCAAAGATCGGTTCATGAATTTAGTTGATTGTGATATACTGTCGACGACTACAGCGCGAGACAGTACTTACGCCGACGACTTGAGCAGCGAATACACGGCTAATACCAGTGTTTGCGGCGAAGGGAATGTCTACTCAATAAGAAAACAACTTCAAGGTCTGGAAAACATGTATTCGGAGGTGAGTCGAGAAAAAAGTTTTCTTTTCTTTATTTTATCTTATTTTTTATTCTCTCATTCCCTGTCTCTCCAGCACTCTCTCAATGAGTTTCTCTTTGAGTTCAACAAAACATAAATCAGAAACTCATTCAATGTATATATAAATCATAATTTGAAGGAATGCTAGGAATAAAACAATTTATTAATCGATTAGTTGTTCTCTACTTTTGACGATTTGTTATCCCATTGTGTGTCGACTCCCCGCGAGTTTGCCTTAAAATTGATTTCTTAGCCCTCCTTATCTGCGAATCAATGCTAACTCTATTCCCTTATTAGACCCTAACATATGAATAATTTACTAAATGTTTTATTCAGTTAAATACTGTTACTGAATAAGTAAACAAAAAATATTTTGTTTACTGAAAAAATAAGTTTAAGTCATAAACATTAAGTAGATTTTAAGCGATCGGTAAATGCCGTCGTGTTTGGCGTCAACTCAACAAAACAGTTAAGACTTATTTATGACCAGATTTAGAGCAATGATTATATTATAAAAGCTTGCGGTATATTATATACAGTTCATGAGAGTTTTGAATATGTAATACATTTAAAGATAATCTCCTCAATAAACAAACATTAAGAGATAGACTCATTGTTTAATATTATCCATGATTAAATAATATAATTAATTATACTGTTTACTTAATTATGGACACAATACTACGATACGATGTATGGTATATTATGCATTATTATGTATACAAATTTAATTAAAAGTATTTAGCTAAATACAGTATAATGAACACTGTTATGAATATGTTACTAATAATTGTATTTGTTTTAAATGTTAGGAAGTGATAGTTATTTTTGTTTTCATGAAATTGAATTCTTCAAGAGTGTTGACTGTAAGACTTGTAAAGTATTTAATGTGATTGACATTTGTTGCACTTGTACTCGTATGACTGACTATTATTTATTTCATAACTTAATTGCCTTCCGAAAGAAATGATTGATTCTATATTACAGTAATTATTGTTACACTCGGATAAGAATTATAGATATATTATGTGAAATAAATTCAATTAACTGTCATTTCAGTGAAAGCCGATGAACTGAACGACTTTATAAACTCTAGAAAATTAGTTACGACTCATTACTTCTGATTTAATAACAATAGATGAAAGATATTTATGACTTGTTTTTATTCATCACATTATTTAAAATCAATTTCAATGAATTTTTATTACTTTATTATAATAAATTGTATTTCAAATGAAAGAAATTGAAATAATCACTGATTATTGAAAGAAATTCTCTGCCAATTAATTACATATACAATATGACTCCATAATATTACATTTATGTATATTCATTTGATAGTATTCAAATTTTTAAATTGGTTAGTAATGGGAAATGTAAAATATTTGATTAATTTTAATTCAATAATGTAGCTACTTTATTTAACTTACTATGATACAAAATATTGTATAATATTCATTAAAAGTAACAATTAATATTGAAACAATAAGTTAAGTTAATAAAACTTTTGTTAAGTTATCTGATAGTAGAGAATTGAGTTAGACCATTTCAGTACATAAATGATACATATTTCGGTTTACTCGTTAGGTTAATAAAGTGTTTAAGTGTTAATTATTAAGTATTTTCATGTATTGATCAGATCTTAGGAATGATGGGATCGCGAGTGAGACCAGATGTGGGCCAAAGAACCCGAAGGAAAGTGTGTAGAAGTGCCTCATCTATAGTGTCGGGACGCAGTTCTGTGACGAGTAGAGGCACAAGAGATATGTATTATAGAAGAAATAAATACGAATATAAAAGACATAAATCTGAGGACTCGTAAGTGTTTTAAATAATAATATAAATTATTTGCAAATTTTATAAATTAATTATCAATTTCAGACACTCTTCCCGAAGAATAAAAAGACTTGAGTCTCATGTGATAACATTAGCGCGAAGTGTCGCCCAGTTATCAACAGACATGCGATACAATCACTCGCTATCGCAAGAAGTGGAGAATTTGCGACAAGAGATGGACTTAATTAGGGAGCAAATGGTGGCAATAAAGCAGAGTCTGAGTACAAATGTTTATGGGATCAGCTCTAAAGCACACCATCACAGCAATGGTCATATTTCCGCAAATGGGCGGCGAGTTATTACTACTAATCATCATATCATTAATCCGAATAAAGTGGAAAAATTGAAAAAGTATGCAAATTATAAAAATGGGAAATTAGGGCATTTAAGTGGGGGTCAAGTGGACACATATATTCACCCAAATGAATGCACTCGTAATTATATACGACTACTATAGTGCACACACTATCAAATTGTTAATAATCTATCAAAATTATGAATGTTTTATTTAAGAAAATTGTTGTAAATGTCTTAAAAATATTTATGCTTTTTGAACAGATTTTTCGGAGACGAGCCCCCATTGTTGAGGCAATTCCTCAAGAAATTAGGCTATGAGGTACACATCCATCAGAACTTGTTTTACACTCAAATATCTTCATTTCAAATCAATTACATTTGCATTCATTTCTAATACTAATAATGCTTTTCTACCCCTAAATCAGAAATATGCTCGAAATTTTGAATCCGAGAAAATAGGTATTAATTATATTTGATAAATTAAATCAATGTTTAATTGTTGATATAATTGGTTATGAAATGAGAGTTAACGACCGTATGATTGTATTGCAGGCATAACAGAGTTGCCTTATTTGAGTGAAGAACGAATGCAAAAATTAGGCATTCCTTTGGGCCCAAGGATGCGGATTATGCAAGAATCGCACACACAATACAAATCCAATCCAAATAATGATCATTACAGCGTTTATGCCATTGTTTAGACCCACTTATCCTTAATTCTCATAAACAAAACCATCGAAAGTCTTATTTATGTTTAAATAAGTACTGAATAAATCAATAAACTGTTTGCAACTAATCGTCAACTCAAGAGATTGTTCTCAAAAATATTGTACAGAAATGAGTGTTAATAAGGATTTTCAATATAAAAGTTTATTGAGACTCGACTTATATAAATAAAATTCTGCTCTAAGATATGTTTCAAACTTTCTTCTCTCAAGTCATACCAAACCCCGCCTTCGATAGCATTGCTTTATGTTATAAGAGTGAAGACAACCTAATTCTTAGGAATTCTTAGTCTTTAAAACTTTCATTTTCATCACTCTTTCTGTGCTTTTCATCAAAACGCCATCCAATTTGTGAACACACTTTCTGCCAAAAAACTTACTTCACATCCATTTCAATATGTCCATCATTTTCGTCGCTTTACTCCTCACTCTCGCCAAGTACTCGGCCGGACAGTCCGTTAATTTCACAGATTGTGGTAAGTGTTCAAACGTTTTATTGATTTCTCGGCTTTTAAATCGTAATAATTTGTGTAGAAATTAAAGTTTATTTTTGTATTGAGATTAAAGGCATAGAACAGGGAAATTATATTTTAATTGATTATTAAAAAACCATAAAACTAGTAAAGAGTATAACTAAAAATACAATTAATTTATTACTTGTAAAACACGTTTTGATTCACAGATTAAATGAATTGATACAAGTTTTGCCCAAATAAATTATGAAACTATGTTTTAAAAATAAATATTATTAAAATGCTATTCTTAAATGTGAATTTAGACATTTGATTTATATTAAAACTTTACTTTCACTTTAAAAAAGTTAAAACAAATAATATTGTAGAGTCCAAATGAAACAACTTTATAACTTTCCCTTTTTGAACCGGTAGTCCCCAGGGTTTGATGTTCAGCAACATTTTGAGGTCAGAGCTATATTTCCTTCTGAACTCAATTAGATAGAACTCAATCACAAGCCATTCAATCTCGTAGACCATATATAATACGAAAGCAATTATCTTATTTTAAGAGCTTAGCTATGGGTCAGTTGGTCAGGGAGTTGTCAAATGTAGACATTTCACTGTGATTGACCATTGCTATCGATTCCCTTTTCTATTCTTATTCTTGATAACAATTTATCGATTCAATGCTTTTGTTTTCTGAGTTACTGTATAATCATTTATTGCACTCTATTTATTTGGTTCATAACTTACTATTCTTTTATCCCTTTAAATGTAAAGAAGTTTCATAATCACATATAATATATTGCATTTAGTATTACACAGTAATTACACAAGTTATTCCAGTATTTTAATCTTAATTTGACAATCACATTTTGAAAGATTTTTAAAAATAAAAATGAATTTAATGGAGTAAATTATAAATTCTATGTATAGAGTCGTTAACTATTAGTTCTGATTTAAATACATGTACGAAATTAATTATTGCATCAAAAAATAAGTTTAGATTTAAGTAATGCTACATTAATTGAAGGGAACAATAGCCTAATGATGAGAAATGCTATGATTTCAGGGACGGGTAATGTGAAAGATGTTCGTATAATTCCCTGCTCTGGAAACCCATGTGTTCTCAAACTGGGAACTAATGTGACGGTTGAGGCAGACTTTGTTTCTCGTAAGTCGATACCAATTATTCATTCATTCGCTAATTAAGGCAAATGATAAATGTATTATTTTCCCTTTGAATAGCTCTAAACACAAACAAATTATCCGAAGTAATCAAAGGTGTGATTAGAGGCAGAGAACTACCATTTCCCGAGCAAAGAGCTGATCCTTGCAGTTCTGGTAACATAATACCAGACTGTCCACTGAAAAAAGGAAACAGCTATCAATTCAAGGCAGCCTTCGAAGTCAAGCCTTTCTACCCACCGGTAAGTCATTGGCAAATGATTCAACACAAAGTATTTTAATTGTATTCGTGTTTTGGTTTAAGATTTCAATTAAAGTCAAGTACAGTCTGACTGATCCCACCGGACAGAGTGTGGTCTGTGTTCAAGTGTCGGCCAAAATCGTAGACCCGGACGGACCTAAGACCACAAACCAAAGACCCAGAAGTTCGCGACCAAAATCTCGGTCTAATAAACCCAAAAATAATAACTAAACTTTTGTATAAATCTTTTATTCTTTGCGTTTTGACTCAATTTCTTTCAATTTTTAATTGTTTTCTATTTTTCAATAAGAATTTCATTATTTAATAAAGACATCAAACGTTAAGTTATATATAATTTTGAATCTTTATATTTTTAAATATGTTTTGTAAATTAATCACATAATTGTATTGAAATGTATTTAATGTTTATTTTGGGATTTTTATGTATAAAATGATAAAAAATTTGTATTCAATTTATTCAATAAAGATATGGTTTTTATTCACGAGATTTGAGAATGTAATGAATAATTTTTAAAATCTTGAATCAAATCAAATCAAATGAAAATTGAATTATTCTCAACTCAAATCGCAAACAACTGAATCTAATATAAAGCCTAAAGTCTTAAGCAAAATGAATCCAAAAAGTGATGTTTCATTGAGTGCTGATCTCAACAATTCCGATGGCTTTAAGAGTACAGACAAAATGCAATCAGACGTGAATAGCGAGCAATTCATTGAACATCACTCACAACTCACATCATGTAATGAAAACCAATCGTTAGATTCAGTGATTGTCGGCGAAGATGTGATGTTTTGTCAGAATATCTTCGAAGGAATTTCTGAATCAATTGACAATTTGGGAAAAGTTTGCCAAAAATGGTTTGAATTATTCAATGAAATCCAAATCGATTTGGAGTTTAATAGTATAGAGAGTGAGGAGGAAATGGAGATCAGGGAACAGATTAGACACAAGAATAATAAAAAGAGTAAACGAATGGAGAAAAAATCACTGAAAAAAGATTTGCCAAAAAAGATAATTTATAAGTTTTAATACAAACTTCTCATACATTAGTATAATTAAAATTGCTTTCAGATTAAATAAATAAATCATAGATTCAAAAAATCAAAATCAAATTGTTTTGTGAATTATATCAAATGAATTTCATAACTTTTATCTGAAATTTTTTTTAAAATTATAAATCTATGATAATAGGGAGTGAAGTGAAAACTATTAGGTTTAATGTAAATATATTAATAGATTTAATATTTTAGATGATAAATAACTCTAATTTAGGTGTATTTATAAATTGACATTGCTATTTTTATAGTGTCTGTGTCACAACCCCTCCCCTTCAGTGACACGTAATTATTGAACTGACGTAACAGTGTGTGTGTCGGCCATCGCATTGCTGTTTGTGTTTGTGATCGCAAAACACGTGTGAATTTGTGACACAAATTGTCTCAATATTTAGCCATTTATTGAACGATTGAAATGATGTCTAAACCGAAGAAAGCGGTGAAAGTGAGTAAAAACCGGAAGAAGACGTGGAGAAAGCACTGTCCCATCGATGATGTGGAGGAATATCTCGAGAATAATCGCTTCAATGAGAGGATTGGGTTTGTAGTGAACTCATGAGGAGTACATACCATTCATTTCTAACTACTTTTGTGACCATTCAGTGGTGCCATTGCAGACAAATCAGATGACAGTCTCTTTGTGGTCGAGAAGACGGCAAACGCGGAGCTCCTGAATGAAGACCAACCGAAGACAAGAGCCGCCAAAGAGTCGAAACTGAAATCAATTCAATCGGACTTAAAGTACTTTAAATTACTTGAGTCTCAGTCCAAAGCGGAACCGATTGTCCCCAGAGTTGGTCCCAAAGACAAGAGAAGAACTTTTCTTAACGACGACAAGAAGTTCGCCAAACTTTGGCCACAAAAACAATTGCAATATTTGAGAGCAAAACAAAAGGCAGACGAGAAGAAAGCCGTCAAATCGGATCCGAAGTTAAGGTTTAACTTTAGCAGTGATTTGTGGGCCGACGCCGAAGAAACTGATCCAAAGGACGTCGAAATAGAAGAGTTGATTGATTATCAGGAGGTCCTGAAGGGCAGTAAACCACCAAAAGTGCCGAAACATCGCTACCAAAAGCCGTCTCTTCTGCCATCAGTGGAACCGCCGCTTTCGGGGCAGTCATACAACCCGTCCTTCGAAGACCACCAGAACCTGTTGGCCATCGCTCACGACATTGAGGTCAAGAAGATTAGAGAAGACAATCACTTGAAGCGCGTCGTCGAAGACCATTACGTGAGCAGAGCGTCGGCACCTAACGACCAGACGTGGGCTAAAGAGATGTCTCACGGATTAGGTCTCAGCGATGACGAGGAAGACAATGAAAGTGAGGATCAGATGGAAGAGAATGAAGACAAGACATGGAATCAGTTGATTAGAGCCGACAAGAAGAAGACTAGAGCCCAGAGACGTAAAGAGTTGTTACAGAAAGAGACGGAAAAGAAGAAGAGATTAGAGAAGAGTTTGAAATCTTCAGCGAATGAAATCTTCAAATTAAAGACATATAAGAAAGAGTTGAACCAAAAGGAGAAGGAGTCCTCTGAGAGACAGAAGCGACGGTCGGCACGAAATTTAGCCAAACTTTTTCAACCCAAACGAATGAGTCGTTATAAGTATGAGGAGCCGGATGTTGAACTGCATCTGACACACGAACTGAGCGGTTGTTTGCGTTCAATGAAAACGGAGGGAAACCTATTACAAGACCGCTTCAAATCCATTCAACGAAGAAATATAATCGAAACGCGAACTAAACAGACCTTCAAAAGGAAATACAAACTCAAGAAAATCATCAAAAAGTCGTGTAAAGACCCCATCGTTTGAGATATTTGTCGTCTTTTTAATCAATTGTTTATTAATAGTTTTGAAATATTTTTAAATACTATATAATTAACGCTTAAATTTATTTATAAATTAAATAAATGTTTAAAAGTGAGAAATAAATGTTTACGAGTTGTGTGACAGTACTGGTTGATCATATGCGTGTCATTTGTCACTTGGGAATTATGCTTGGGCATTTACTGTATTGCAAATGTCAATGGTGGGTATAGGGCTGGTATTAGGGGGTGTGGGGTTCATTATCATAAATATTAATTATGTTTATTTTTTGGGAAATTAAATGTTTGCAATAAAAAGTTTTATGAAAACCCTATTGATTGACACTGGGGATTTAAAATTCATAAATAACATAAGTTTAAAAACAAAGTGAAAATGCAATGCCATAGTGAAGGGAAAGGTATGATAGTGTGTCACACGCAGTGTGACCAACTGTACACTATTGGGGTGTACAGTACACTATTTAGGGTATTTGTACACTGTGTTTTAAGATCGAAATAGTGTACAATGAATGTACACTATTTGTGAAAATATATAGAAATACATATCAGTTTTGAGCAAACCTTTACAGAAACCATAATACCTTTCATTTCGAATTAAAAAATATGTTTGAAAATACAGT